ATACTTTTATATAAATACAGTATACGATCGATAAAACTCTCATTAATTAAAAACAAATTAATTAATTTTGAAATACTTTGTTTAAATGTCACATAAATGATGGCCAGAGAGAGAGAGAGAGAGAGAGAGAGAGACTGCATAGTTATTATGTGTTAAGGCTATAATTGTTATAATAATTTATTTGTAATAATATTAACTTAAATAATGTATAAATAGTAAATCGCTAAACTTTTTTCGGTCAAATATACACTATTTATAGTAACGTAATATTATTAATGTACTCAATAAATGTGATAAATATGATTATGAATGAAACATAAATTCATTGACAATTTATAGCCGCAATAACCATAATGAATATTGCAATACATTTGTAATGCATACCTGTTATATACAGATGACAAGTCAGCATAAAATTGTTGTTAGATATCCAAAACACAAATGTAAATCAAGACATCGTTTAGTGGTTTATCATAAATAATAAACTTGTGAACAACTTTTACAACAACTATAACACAGAAAATTAGTTTTCAATAAAAACGATGTTTCGCTTATATATAGGTGTGTAGTCTCCGTATGAACGCGATGTCTGTGTATATGATAAACGCGAACAACAGCTCAATTGACATCATCTCTCGCAGAGCACACCAACACTTGCGGTCAAATGATGTTAAACCGAAAGCATTACCAGTAAAGTCAATATGAGATGAGAATCTTTAGGCAACACATAGCGAACAGCAGAGGCAACACATTTAGAGCATGAGCTGAACATCACTTTTTCCACACTCACTCTTCTTCTTCTGCACAACACATATACATGTGATCACAATATTCTTGTCGTCATTTACTCTCGTCGTGTTGTGTTATATAACTATCGGTCGGACAGTCGTTGTCGTCGTCGTCGCCGCAAATGCCCTTCTCGTGGGATATGAGCACAAAATTTTTGTGTTCACAACTCTCAGGGGGTTTGTGTGTGTGGAGCGTGTGAGTGGGCCCTCACTATTGCCGCTATAATTGATAACATGAATCGATAAATTGATTGCAATTTCCAAATGTAATACAAAAATATTATTTGCAATAAAAAAAATTGGTACCACTTTTGCTGTATATTATAGTTTGGGAACAATAGAAACGCCTGCTCTCTGTCCCGAAGGGGACTTTGAAAGTACTTATTTGAAAGTCTGACATAAAATGATATGAAATATAGACATCCACTATAATTGGGCAGTAATTGCATTCAAACACACCTTTAGATCCTTTAAACTAAACCTGTTTTAATAAAACAAGAATACCATTGAATATACAAATTGTGAAGTTTTAACGGAATCGGCGTTTTGTTTGAATTTCGAGCCAACAGTCCATCCTTGTTATCATATGGTGTACAGCACGACATCTTATGGTGTTTTTGATTGAAACTATATTTTCATTCATAAACTATTGAATTCTTTGAGGAAAATAATTGGAAAAATTAAAACAAATAAACAAAACAATAAGTTATTTAAAAATCTGTATTTTAATGCATAAAAACATTTTCCACAACAAAAAAAATGTTATGTCAAAAACAAATGCAAAAAGTTGTTTAAAAATTCAGTCACAAAACCTAAATATATAATTATTACAATAATAATAATTTATTAGTTAATGTATTTCTTATCTCCAAAATTTAGAAAATAAAGCCTCAAATAGTAATAAATATATGCATAAATTTTGTATTAATTTAATCAATTGATTAATATATTGTAAAAAACAGTTTACAAACAATGCAATGGGAGTTATATCAAGAAGTTTGGTTTTTTGTTGCTTTTCTAGTGAGAAAAATGTTCGGTGTTTACCATAGTTTACGGGTAAATATATGTATATATCGGGTCTGGCTTTGCGTGTTTTGTATGGCATTTTGTTTTTGTTATTTAATTATTACTAAAATTTATATAATATATGAAAATTCATTTTTCACTCTATTTTGATAACAAATTAAAAGGAGAGACACAGAGAAGAGAAGGAGTGAAACGATGTTTGCATTTCAAACTCGACGCTCAAAACGGATTAAAAATCGCTTCAAAATTAATTATAATTATTTCGTTTAATCTATCAGTTAATAGAGGAGTCGTTTAAATCTACGGACACTTTGGGCGCCATTTTAGGCCACTCTCTGTCCAACACTTTGATCAACGACTCATTCAACTGCTCTTTCTCGGAGTCGACGAACTGACGAAAGTGTCGCAACTGTCGGCCGAGTGTCGGGTGCGTCGTCGGGTCGGCCAATCGCAGCGCTCGCTTCAGCGACTGCAACATAAGCATCACTTTGTTCTTGCGGTGATAGATGTCGAACGCCAACAGATGAGTGTCCAGACGTTGGGCGGCGAACATCTGCAGAGGTGTCAGGAATTTGATGGCCTCTTCGAGCGGGTGTTCCGGTCGCTCGAGTTTGGATGCGTCCAACTTTTCCTGATGCAGTTCACCGCCGCTCTCGGCGTTGTTCTTGTCGTTCTCGCGCGACTGCTTGTCGTTGTCGGCGGTGGCCTTCGCCTCGGCTGTGGCCCGCAGTTTCGCTTTGCGCTGTTTGTTACGCAACTTCTTCAGCTCCGACGCCGACATATTGGCGGTGTTCTTGTCTTCGGACTCTTCGCGATCGCCGAGCGGTTTGTCGTGGAGTCGGAGGTAGACTTCGATGGCTATACGGGCGGCGCGGAAGTAGAACTCGTGGCCTTTGAGCACGTCTTCGAGACGCAGGAGTTCGAGGTAAGAGCGAAGTGTCATTTTGCGCATACAGTAGGTATGGAAGTCGAACTGGTCTTCGTTGATCTCTGCGAAGTGGCGCTCGATTTCGATGCACTTCTTGATGGCTTCGCCGAACTTCTCCTGCCTCTGGTGGGCGATCGCGCACTCCGTCTGAAACCACATGCACTGCATTTCGTTCAGGTTTTCGGTGGCCGACACGCCTTCGCGCGTGAATTTGGCGCACATCTCCTCCGCTTCGGTGATGAGGTTCGCGCGCAACAAGTATTTGGCGCACTTCGAGTTCAGGTAGCGGTCGGCGGTGTCCAGACTCTGGGCCTCATCGGCGTATTGGACGGCCTCATCCATGTTTCCCATGTGGCGGCATATCTTGGCCTTCACCACATACAACTCGATAAGAGTGGGCGTGTGTTCGAGGGCTGTGTTCACGAACTCGAGCGCCCGATCGTAGTTCTGCAGGTAGTCGTAGTGTTGGGCCAAATAATAGTAGACCCACAGCAGGCAAGTGGTGGCTTCTGTGCCCCACGAGCTCTCAGTCGAGTCGAAACTGTCGTAATTACTCAGGTTTTTGATGTAACTCAAGAGCAGTGTCTCAACGATGCGCATCTTGTCGGTCATCACCGGCTTCTGGCCTTCGATGAAGCGCTTGTTATGTCTCATGTGTTTGAGTTCGTTGTTGTAGAGGTTCTTCATGTCTTTGAAGAGCGCGGGCTGTCCTTTGCGGAGCGACTTTCGCAGATACATATCGACCATCTCTTTGAAGAGATCGGTGTTCGACACGAAGCCCAGCGGCAATCGGAACGGCAGTTGACTCCTGGGATACTTGCGCTGAAACTCGAGGTAGAGTTTGAGCCTCTCGTTCTCGTGGTCGGCACTCAGGCCGAGCGCCCGCTCCAGAAGCGAGTAATAGTTGGAGTTCTCGGGATTGCGGCCAATGAGCTGATCGTTGATCACTTTCTTGGCCTCTTTCAGTTTCCCGCAGCTCACCATTAGTTCACTTTTGTATTCACTAATCGCTAGTTTATCACATATTTCCGACTCGTTTCTCTCCAAATAGGTCAGCGCTTCCGTATAGCTCTTGGCCTCCTTCAAGATCATCACCTGATAGAGCAACAGCTCTGAGTCCTCGTACTTCTCGCTGGCCATCCGCTGACCGGCGGCGCCGTTGGCGGCGCTGTTCTGGTTGTGCATCGCTTTCTGTTGCTGTGATTGACTCGTTTTGCGGAACTCTTCCAGTATTTTGGCCGCCGTCTCGTAATCCTTAAGTAAATGGTAGGCCATCGCGAACCCTATCCACGACGCCCTCTGCGTCGGCCTCAACGCGAACAACTGGTATCGGGTGTCCCGATAGCCCTCCAGGTCTCGCATCTGGACCTGCAGTAGACTCAGGTCGCGGAGTATCTGAATGTTGTCTTTGTCCCACTTGAGAGCATTGCGGTAACACTTGATGGCCTCGTCGTACTTGTGGTCCGAGCGCTGCAACAGGCCGTAGACGTGCCAACACACGTGCGACTGCAGGTCGTTGCGCAGCCCTCGACGCACGTACTCATACGCCTCGTCCTTACGGCCCAAGCAGTTGAGTGTCAGGCCTTTCATCGCCAGAGTCTCGCCGTGTTCTGTATGCTTGGCGTTCGTCAGGATCTGCTTCGCGAACTTGAGCCCATTCTTGTACTGCTTGTGTTCATAGCATTTCAGGATCTTCTTAAACAACGCGTTCTCTTTCGGCGGCAATGGCTGTGACGGAGACATCGCTGCTGTGGAGGCAACCGGAGCTGTGGTTAGCGATGATTACGGTGTGCACGATATGCCAGGCAAATGAGGCACCGTTTCGGCACTATTCTAGACTACACACGCCTTCATTGCGTGATGTGTTGGTAAGTGTGAAAAAGGCCCAAATGGTGTCATCGCTGTCACCGCCATATTGAATACATGTGTCACGTGTCTGTGTCTATGACAGGCAGAGCCTCTGTCGGAGAGGCAATGTGTCACAGAGTTTGCGAATAGTTTGTTAAACCCATCATGGTCATCAAATATATGAATTAGTTAAATTATTATAAAATTGCGTTAGTTAATTAGTTAAAAAATATAGATTTTAGGTTTAACTAAGAGCTCACGTGTTGTGAAACACATAACAACTGCTATTCATTTCAGTGTTATATGAATGCAAACAACACAACAATTGTTATCATTTGATGACCGAACCCGACCTGACCCGTGCCCGAGAGAGAGAGAGAGAGAGAGAGAGAGAGAGAGAG